TCAAATGAATTTTGTGGGAGCACAGCCTGACATCGTTTTGCTCATGCTTCCATTGAAATTAGCAAGCAGGCTCTTATTGACTTAGTGAGCAGGACTGTGATTCACAAATTTGGCTAATCCACTCATATTTTCAATATGAGATTTTGAAAAGGTCACAGAAAGCAGAGTCAAGACCGTTGTCCCCAGAAGGGGATTGGCTTGAGACCAGGCAAAGATAATAAAACCAGTTGTCCAGCTTTTCAGTATTCAATACATACCAGCTGCATTGACTAATAGGACAAGATGATGTTGGGCTTAGGAAAGTAGTTACTTTCTTTTCAGCCTTCTCTACTCTGCCTTTACCAAGCAGACAATTTTTTAAGTTGGAAGGATGCTAACTTGATCCAAAAAAAACCCCCAAAAATGTCAATTATATGTGTTTTATTTCAAAGTGGAAGAAGTACATTTTAGAAATGTGCTATTTAAAATATCTTATGGGATATAATGATAAGGGCAAAATGTGAACCTTATTGAAGAATAAATACATTGCTGAAAAAATCAGCAAGTCTTCATCATTCATTTATATGTAAAACTAAGTAAAATTTTAAAACAGAATGTAGTTCTTTAAATACAATCACAGTAAATAATTTTAACTCTGTTGTTGGTTTTGGGGTTGTGGTTTTTTTATTACAACAATATGTCTCTGGTAGTTCTTCTGGAAGTTGGATAAATTTTTAACAAGTATTCAGGCAAAATTTAAATCCATCTTTCAACCACAAGTTTTCTTTGAAATGAATGATATGCAGCAAAATCTTCTAGTCTGTTTCATTTGCATTCCACTCAAGCAGTGGGTCAAATACTACTTTGCCCAATTTGCAGAGAAGGTAGATTGGATTTATCTCACTCGTTTTGAAACATCAGTATTGACCATTCAAAAAGACCAAACATTACAGAATCACAGAATTGTTAGGGCTGGAAGGCAGCTCTGGAGATTATTTAGTCGATCCCCCCACCGAGGCAGGGTCATCTCAGGCAGGTTACACAGGAACATATCCAGGTGGGATTTTAATATCTCCAGAGAGGGAGACTTCATGGTCTGCCTAGGCAGCCTGTTCCAGTGTTCTGCCACTCTCAAATGAAGGAAGTTCTTCCTCATGTTGAAGTTAAACTTCTTGTGTTTCGCTTTATGGCCATTAACCCTATCAAAAATATTTCAATAAACAGCTGCAGCTTGGTTTTGGATCACATGAACCCAGATACTCAAAATATATCTAAGAATACATGCCTCACTGGTCTCAATCCCTAGTGTAAATCATGAATTTTACATTCAGAATCATTTATAGATCAGTTTCTGTAGAGAAAGAAAACACATTTTGAAGTCCCATACATCAATAATTGCACATACATTTTGCAATTCATTTGCACTTCCACTGCTAAGGGACATTTGCATATATTAAGGCCAGCATGAGTTATTATAGTTCTCTGCTCTAATCCCTGATACTACACAGGGCATAGCACTTCACTTTGCAATACTTACCACTCTGCAATTTGCACTGCACTAGGGAGAGGAAAACTGCAGGTCCCTTCTTCCCCACCTTCAAAGAACTGTCAGGTTTCTATTTCTAGTGCCATTAACTTTTCTGAAAAACAACTACTTTCATCTTTTTTGTTGCCAAGCAGTTTCAGCTCCCTGTTCATATCAACAAGGACAGGGATAGTTGAGGTTCCATCCTGTGTGGTGCTGAGCCACTTGTGCTCAGGAGTGCTGAAGAGCTGAGAGAGGCCCATGGGCTCTGTGAGACTCCCCTTCCCTGCTTGTTTCCTATTGGTACTGCAACCAGGGACAGCAAAGGCATGGTAGGCAAAGCCATAGTGGTGACCTATAAACTGAGTCGGAGGAAGACATGTTTTTCTTCAGGTGGTTGCTATTTATGTTTACAAGTGAATTTTCCTTAACTTTTCCCAGAGGAAATTACATAATCTCCAAAATTTCATAAAACTTGCAGAATGTACGTTTTTATCCAGACAGTTTCAACATTTTGTTTTGTGCTTTGCAGCTTTTAATTCTCCTGTTCCTAAAAAAACACTATCAAGCAAAAGGTTATTTACAGACCAGGCAAATTATGTTTTTCTTTCATCAGCTATCTTAGAGGGTTAATTAAGAAATAGAGCTGCAAAATAGGAATCAAGGAAAAATAGGAAGTGTGCTTATTAACAGAGCTTTTGTTTGCATTTCTAATTGCTTCCTTCGAATACTTTGTCTTGCCTATTACAGCCAACAAGAGCTCTGGTGTAACTCTGTCTCCAGTTCATGGTGTGTTTCATTCAGGGGGGGAGTCTGGCACATGGAGAATTCTGCAGGTAGGGGTGACACTGAGCTCAGCAAATATGCCACATCAGCAGCATGCCAGGCCTGCGCATCTCGTGTGGCAGCACCAACCCTTCTCCTCACTCCGTGCCTCACTCCTATCTGATCACGTTTTAACAGCTAGAGAGGTGATAAATGATGAATTAAGTATCCATTCCTGCACAATCCTGAATGCAGGCATGCATACCATTCAAAATTGTTGGTTATTCGGTGTCAAGCTCCAAATATTAGGAAGAAGAATTTGCAGTGCAACATTAGTAGTGGAAAAAAAAAAAAAAAAAAAACACAACCAAAATCAGCCTGTCTCGTCTGCTGACGAGGAGAAGATTGGCTGCTTAAATTCTCCAAAAGCAGCCTTCAATTTTTTATCTAGCTATTTATAGAAAAGTGCAGAAACAGCTGAGCTGAGTGAAGTGATGTCACTTTTGCTGGGAGGACGGCTCGCTCGGCAGCGTGCCGAGGCGGCAGCGTGTGCTGGAGGCTGGGACCGCAGCCCCACTGCCGAGGCGCTGGAAACGCGGGCATTTTTCAGCTCGGCTGATCAATACGGCATTGATGGCTCTCGGCTGACCTTCAACCCCTCCGGAATAGCAATGGGCAGGCGCTGCATCTTGCAGGCTGCGAGGGCTGCTGCATGTTAGCTACCAATTTTACAATCGATCAAAAGTCATCTTTGTCAATAAAGCTGGAGATTTCAAGCAACGGCAAGCAATTTTGGAAAGGTCAGGGCTGGGTTTTTATTTGTCCGACCTCTGCTTTCAAGCAGAAGCACGGTCCCTTATACCCATTAAGAGTAGTAAGAAAATTTAAGATTTTTTTTTTTTCTCCCCTCTTCCATGTATTTTTAGTAAGCCTTTGGGCATTTTCCCTGTCCCTAAAAGAATACGGTTGCGTGGCAACGTCCCCGGTTGCCATGGCGACTCGGTGTGTAAGCAGCTGCCGCAATCAGCATTAACTCCAGGCTCGCAGGTTTGTCATTCCAATGCATAGGGAGGGGGAGACAAATAGGACAGCAGAGCAGCGCCGTAAAAGGGAAGTCACCTAGATAATGTCACTCACAAACATATGTTCCCCAATTATTCTTTCCACTGTTTTATTGCCGCAATTATAGCTAAACTAAGATTACAAAATTATATGGTTTTAATTTGCCTCCGTCGACTATGTTTCACTTCCATTAAAATGAAGTCTAAACCCATTTAAGTAGCAAACTGTTGGCTCTGCAAAGGATGGGGGATTTTGGTTTACCAGTGGGTATTTCGAGGACTAAGTAAAAAAATAGAATAGTCCTCTAGGAATCTTGATATCTAGGCAAAATGAGGTACAGCCCTGGGTGCTGGGGCTCCTGCCTCTTTTGTGCTGCCTTGAACTCCACAACACAGCCACCACCAGTGATGCTGGCAAGGACCATCCTTCTACTCTTCCTCTCCCTTACACCTCTACCTCCAAAAAATATCTGGAAGTTGTACATTTAACCATCTGAAAATCTGTCACCGGGCTGAGCCCACCAGCTGCTGCAGCATCCTTCAACATATCCTTGTGCAATTGCTCCATTTGAAGACCCCTGCAATAAACAGATGCAATGGGGTTGACTTCAAAATTAAGTAACGCAGCATTAACCCTGAATTTCCTTACATCGGCAGTCTTCAGACTATCCTTTCATGTACCTCAAGCATATTTCATTATCTTTGCTTTAGAAGTTCCATTTTTCTCTGCGGCTGCCTGGCCACTCCTGATCTTATTAAAAAAAAAAAAAAAAAAACAAAAGTAAAACACATTAGGAAGGGTCTGGCAGGTGATGAAATGCACCTCCACAGCTATTCCACAAAAACCTACACTTTGTGGTAGTAAGGCACTTTGGTCTGGTTTTTTAATGTATAAGTGGAAGCATTTAATCAGTGTTAAATACACACATTTGCACAGCTGTGCTGATTCAGTTGTGTAAGCAAGAATCTATTCACGATTTAAAATATTAGGCCACAGAGTGATGTTGGCTCCCTCAGAAACAATTCCACATTATGGGAAAAAGTGGTGTAAATGAGTAGATAAACATAAACTCGACATTCAGATCCATATGATTTATTTACCAACCTTTTCAAACAACCAGTTTTTGACCCTGTTAAATCCTTCCATTATATAAGGGCATTTATTACTGTGGATTTGCATAATTAAAATATACATGCCTAGTCACCAATGTTTATAACCTGCACTTACTCAGATTCTTATTAAGACTTGCATCAGAAATACAAGTACATCTTTCAAGTATCATTTTAATTAAAAGATAGATATAGCATGGCATCTTTTATTCTAAAGGAATCTACTATCAATACCAAATTGTAGCTGCAAATACGTTTTCATTTTTCACTCTGGCAGAAATGGCTGAACACATATCTATTGAGATTTGCAGAGTAAAAATCATATTCCTTAGAAGAGACCTTGCATGGCAACATTTTGATAGAAACTTCCTTCTATAATCAAGTTACAGTCTATAAACCCCTGAAAATAGGGGTTCATAATGAAAATACAGCTAGACCCTTCACTGCAAAAATGCTAGCAGGTGCTGTTATAATATACAAATCCAGACAGCATACAGTGACCTATTTTCAAAACCAGGCCAGGCAAAATGACATCAAGAAATTGAATTCCTTGCCCTTACTTTAATAGTGTCTTGTCATGCAATCTTCAAATCAGGACAGGTGATCATTGCAAAACAATCCCTAACCCAAGGGACAACAGGAACGTTCTCAGCACTAATACCCTGGGCCCATCACACTGCTTACAATAAATGGATGATTGCAGAGGGCAGGTATAGACCATTCAAATCAAACATACCATTGGACAAGGGGGTATTTTGCCCTTTTTAAAGTTAGAAGCCAAATAAACATCAGGACTGAATTCTGTCCTATTTTGTTGTGTCATCAAAAATAGTTGGTAACTGGAACAACAAACTGCGCTGCTAAAAATATGATAGTAGTTATGCAGGGATATTTAAAATAGATTAGCATATGGATTAACTCAAATTCAAAACTGACTTTAACCCTTCAATGACTACAATCCTTTCTCCAAATAGGGCACTTCTGCAGCATCAAAGACAAGCTTAGATCCTGAGTGTCAAGACAACTTTTGTCTGGTAAAAACAAGTGTGGTCGTTACTGTTTTCACATATAGTGGGGATTCAGTGGTTTCAAAACAAATTTAAGCAGATCAAATGATTTATGAATTCTTTTACCATATTGTCATTTGGGTTTTTTAAACAATGTCCATTTCAGAAGCTGTTATTTATTACTGAAACTATACCCAGAAGCTAGAGAATAAGGCCCAGGAAATTACTGCAAGGCAAATATATAAGAATGCAACTCTGTGTGCCTGTACTAAATCTAACAGAAGGGAACAAAATATTTTCAGAGCAGGGTAGAAAGACTCAAAATTGAAGAAATTTTATTATGTAAGAGAAAATAAGTTTTCTTAAAGTAAATATATTTTTTGAGTAACAAACAACTATTTCCCTCATGAAAACAGCTTGTTTTTTATCAAAATAATCCAGTTCTCTAAAATAAATTACTTTTGCAGCAGGCACTCAGAATTCATATTTTATTACATGTCATTTACAAAATCCGATACTTAGTTGAATTTATTGAGAAATCAGGATTTAAGTACAGTCAGAAATCATAAGAAATGGATAGCCCAGAATTTAAAATATCAGGTTTGCAAAATTCTTCCTCCAATCTCATTTTTTTGCAAATTGTAAGATAGCTGTTTGTGATTAAATAACTGTAATAATTAAAATAAAGTAATTTTCAAAGTTTTCTCTTCTAGCCAGATGCAAACATTTTCACTTCCTCATTCAAAACACTCTCCCTGCAGTGGCCTTATTTTTAGTCATCACAGACTGAAATCAAAGTTTTGGTGTTTGCATTTTTTGATTGTTTTTAAATATGGATTCCCCTAATTAATGGGGGAATTGCAGGGTTTTTTAATGCTGAACCTTTATACCATGTTATATAGGAAAAGGATGATATTTGCTAAAGTGTAGAATGTTAAGTGTTTGAATGCTTTGACCAAAATATTTGTATTAAACCTGCTACAATGGCAATAAGGCTTTTGGTGGATTTTTTAAGCAAAAAAACCACAATCACTTATTTTCATCTTTTCCAATAAGATATTTTGAAATAAAAATGTACCAAATTGCTAAAAATATTTTGGAAAAAATAAACTGAGAACTACAAGCAGCATTGCTTGGAAAATCTGCTGTCCACAATGGCAAGTAGCTCAAAGTGGTGTCGCTGAGAAAATTTTCCAGAAATACCCAGTATTCCTCCTCAGGCCAGGCACAGGGAAGTCCTGTGAAGGCCCTAAATGGGAAGCTAGATTCCCTTCAAAAAGACAGATATGGGACTGCGACAGAGCCAAAAGAAAAAGGACTGAAGAACATTCTCATGTGTGCTCCTTCTTTCTGCTGAGGTTTCCCTTAGAATCCAGTCTGAGGCAAAATGCTCCCACAAAAAGCAACCATTTGGCAAACAGAGCTGGTCACAACTCTGCCCACAGCTCCTGCTGACCTGTCATCCTGCAGACAGCCGAAGAGGGAGAAAAGTTACTGCCACAGCTAGATGGGAACTGCCTGCACAAAAAGGGATTAAAAAGCCTTGCTTCTGTAGGAACATAACTAACACTCATTTCTTTGCTCCTGTACAGAAACAAGCCAGGAAAATTCTTTCTGGAACAAATATTTTCCTGAGGTGAAATGCATATTAAAATCACCAGGAGTAGCATTTCATAATCTAATGTGAATGGCAGGACCTATCTATTGCTGACGTGTACAAAGACAGAAGAAGAAAAGACATAAGTATGGCATCCAGCAGCACTAAACCTGTCTCTTAGGACATTCTCTGAACTGAGGTTACCTCTTACACTACTTAAAACGGGAGAGAGAATTGCCTGAAGTGTTAGCATATAGATGCTGCATCAAGATGCTAACACAGGAGGGAGGTGGCAGGGGGCAGAGTGGAGAGTAGAATTTCTGGCAAAAAAATTTAATGGTTATCATTTGTTCCCTATCTTCAATTTAAATGTATTTTATACTCTACCATGTATGTTTTTAAAAAAGGTTTCTGTTCTCTAATGAAAATTTTGGTCAATTTGGAAGGTGGAAATATCATAGATGCTATGAATTTTGTTCAAAGTCAGTTAATAAAGCCTCATTTCTTTAATAGCATTTTGGCATAATCAGACAACCTTATATTGCTCTTATCAGATGAACCTGCTCCAATATAAGAATTTTATTACTTTTATATAAGGTTTCAGGGAAAATATTTTGAGAGGCACAATGGTTGTTTAAATAAATGTAAAACATAAAACATTTGAATGTTGCTTCATGTAAAAGTCACTGGTATAAGAGATCATAATTAAAAATATATATCTTCCACTTACACGGCAAAAGAGCTGTAATGTTCTGACATTCTGGGGCCAGCATTCAAATTTTCTGCTTTCAAAAATCAAAAGACAGCCATGGGTGTTTGTTCTGCAGTTGTAAACCCATGAAGGTCTTTGCCTGGTGCACATACATATCTGTGCGTGTGCAGGCAGACACGCACGCATGCATGCACGCGCGCCGCAACGCACACACGCTGCAAAGATGCTTTTGTCTCCTGGGCCAGTTCTGCTCTTCAGAGATCATAAGATGCCTAGCTAACAAGAGGACTGTAAAGAACAATTATAACATTTAAAACAACCGTTTTCCTTTTATATACGTTTGATGGCAACTGATGGTCATTAGGGAAAAAAAACAGAATTTTTTTATAATTCAACTAATAAGTAAAAAAAAAAAAAAAATTTCTTGATTGATTCTCCCTCTTTCTCCTCAAAAATAAAGAGTATGCAGCTGGCACTGAAATTTCTACCGAATCCTATGCTGTACTTAACGTGGCTGTTAGCAAATTAAATTATAAATACACACACATAATTACAAAAAAACCTTACATTTAGTATCTTTTCTTCTTTTTCTTTCTATGCATTCTATCTCCTTCTTACTTGTTTGGATTTTTTTCTAGTTTTTGAAAGCAGCTATGATAATATTCGCTTTTATGCTTTTATTGTGTTTTTAGAATCTATTGTCTATTATCAAAGACCTACCAAGGGAAGACACTTTACAGAGATTATTAGATTTCGAGAGTAGTCCAACATTGTTCAGAGCTAATAAAACAACTGGACAACTGCAACAGCAACAATATTTGCACTTCATGGGAAAATGGTTTTTTAGTCTGTGCCCTAAGCAACAGCACTCATTCATTCATTTAGTAATAAAGATTACATTTCAACATTACTGTGTATTAAAGAAAAAAAATATTAAGAAAGGTTACAAAATTCTTTCAAGGGCAGAAACAAATCACTGTTCCAGTTCAAACTTATATTTCGGTCCTACACAGTTAAAATATTTACATGTGTTATCATAGCACCTTTGAAAATTGCTGCACAAGTATTTCACACATATATTCATCTGCTGGAGAGAAATATTGTATGTATTTCTGTAAATGGGCAAGTGAGAGATACAGATGCTGATGTTGACAAAAGTCAACACCAGAGAAGGTTTTCAGGTACTGAACTTCCCTCAAAAACTTATCAGAAACACCCGTTCTGTACCCATTCTCCAGGTAGGTAGATTAAGGTGGGGCATGGCTGGCCTTGACTGAGGGTCAGTCAGTGAGCAGCCTCTGGAAGTGGGCACACAGGATGCAGTGGATGCAGAGCTGGGAGTATGAGACACTCCACCTCTGCACAAGGGAGAACAGAGTGAGAGAGAGAGAGAGAGAGACATCACCAGTGACGGGGTTTTCAGGAGACAAACATTCCTTCTGCATCCATCAAGCAGCAGCTCACTCCAGGTCAGGCTGGAAAACTGGTGCCTGCAGCAGTCAGCCCACAGCTATGTCAAGCTGCTCAGAGCCTTCTGACAATATGTTTTTGGGCTATGGTAATTATTGCACCTTGGAATTTCATAAATGGTATTTTTGTGGAGCCCCTAGTGACTGCAGGAAGCTTCCATGCTCATGTGCAGCATCCTTAGTAAGCAGCCTAGGCAAATTAAGGCAGATGAATAGCAGGGTGATACTGACCCAAATGTATCCCTATTTTTGTATTTTTTTACAGAAGCAGCTTAATCAGATTGAAAGCTGCTTTTGTAGGCTTTCATAGTAAATGCCTTTTAACAAAAAGGGGAGGGGGATATTCACAGAGCAATGGCAAGAACAGAAACTGGAGGTTTGAAAGACCCACCAGGAGAGGGAATTCAGCCCACTTATATTAAATCAGCTGTTATTTTTTACTCTCCTCCTCCCCCCAAGAATCGTGTACCCAAAAAGAAAATGATGTGAATCCATTTTCAGTACTGATTTCTTTTAATCCCGCAGATCAAAACCATTCTGCAGTTTCCAAATGCTTTTTCATTCTAAAGGTAAAACATTTCACAGGAAGATGTGAGGGGTAAGTCTTTCCAATCAGGGATTTTAAACTCAGTTGCTTGCAAAATATAATGAACTTCAAAAAAATCATAAAGGCCCTAAATCCTCAAGACAATGGGGGTTTTGTCATTAATACCTAAAGCAGCGGGATTGTGCACAGTGTAATCAATTGCCCAACAAGGCCCTGGGAACACAATCAAGAAAGGAGGCTACAGGAACATACAATATTTCACTTTTAATAAATGGTCTTTTGACATAACAGCTGTA